AACAATAGAGCGGGATGTTATAGACACGCTGACGTTGATATAGACACAGATGTAACGTTATATAACAGCTGATGTTGATATAGGTTCTACACATATGTAACGTTATGTTATAGACAAGCTGATGTTGATATAGAATCATATATAACTTTATATACCAGCTGATGTTGATATAGAAAAATATATAACTTTATATACCAGCTGTTGTTGATATAGAAACATATAACTTTATATACCAGCTGATGTTGATATAGAAAAATATATAACTTTATATACCAGCTGATGTTGATATAGAAAAATATATAACTTTATATACCAGCTGATGTTGATATAGAAATATATATAACTTTATATACCAGCTGATGTTGATATAGAAAAATATATAACTTTATATACCAGCTGATGTTGATATAGAAATATATATAACTTTATATACCAGCTGATGTTGATATAGAAATATATATAACTTTATATACCAGCTGATGTTGATATAGAAAAATATATAACTTTATATACCAGCTGATGTTGATATAGAAATATATAACTTTATATACCAGCTGATGTTGATATAGAAATATATATAACTTTATATACCAGCTGATGTTGATATAGAAATATATAACTTTATATACCAGCTGATGTTGATATAGAAATATATATAACTTTATATACCAGCTGATGTTGATATAGAAAAATATATAACTTTATATACCAGCTGATGTTGATATAGAAATATATAACTTTATATACCAGCTGATGTTGATATAGGCTCTACACACATATAAATGAAGTCTATGCTTTAGGTTTCGCGCGTGTCAGACAATGTCACATTAGATGTTTGATGCTATATCCGTTGACTAAGTCAATACAGGACAGTAGATCTTCACCTTCACAAACTGGACAACTGACCTTCACCTTAACAAACTGGACAACTGACCTTCACCTTATCAAACTGGACCTCATTCAACTTGATACAAAATTCGCGCAGCATTCAGTAATTACCGTCTTTTTTTTTTTTACACAAAAGCCTACGATTAGAATATTTGAAAGTTTAAATATCAAGTAGCTTATAATTGCAACATTTTAAAATGAAATCAACTTGAAAGCTTACACTAATTACCAAATTTTATAATTGTAAATGTTAACCCTACGAGAGTAACGTTATTTTAAATAAATGTCTAAATGATGATTGTATTACTATGAAAACAAAAACACAGAAAACACAGAAAAAAATAAAGAATTGCCTTACAATTTGAACATCTGGAACCATACAAAATTTAAAACTAAAATTTATGAACTTGAAATTTTCAGTACTATAAAATAATAACATTTATGGTCTTGAAATTTACAATACTAAAAACAAAATGTATGATCTTGGAATTTTAAATAATAAAAACTATTTAAAATGTAAAGAACGTCTCAATATTCCCATGCTTTATACTGAAGTCTCAATGTTCCCCGTTTGTTTTGATCAAACACTTGTATTGAATTAGATTCCTGTTTTTTAATTTTCCCAACCTGCCCTGACTGTTGTGATGAACCGAAACTTACGAGCTAAATTTTACCCACTTTTTCCGAGCCGATTTGTTTCAAACTTGACATGTAGGTCAAGATCCCATGACAGTGCTATATGACATAAAATTTGGCATGATTGGCATGATTAGATGTTTCATTAATTAAGTACCGATTTAATTAATTAAGTACTGATTTATTTATACATGTTTTCTCAGCACTATACTCGTGGCGTTCATTTCTTACGCAAAAGTTTTTAGTTGTGCGTTATTTTTTTTAAAACCTTCAATTGTAACGTTTCGCATTAATATTTGTCGTGTATACTATTTTATCAAGGGTAATAAATACATATTATAGCGACCCACGCTTTCCTTTATAGTGGTACGTTATTATTTTATTTTGTTCTTTTAAAAGAATATTGTGTTCTAAAAATGTGAAACTCAACGTCTGCGAGTCTCAGGTTGGCGTGCCGTTAATTACCTGTACTGTGAGCAGCACGTCATATACTTGAACGTTGTCTTTGTCGTGGCACGACGCGGGTCTGCCCGTGTGTCTGCCCGTGTGTCTGCCCGTGTGTCTGCCCGTGTGTCTGTCCGTGTGTCTTTGTGCTGGTCGTGTTAAGATGTGTAAACCACACGGTTTCAGTATTGATTGCTAGCAGGGTGGAAAAATTGTCATTTGATACATGCAACAGTCTGACGGTAGGGTCTGATTGTGGCGAGTACCTCGTGCGGTCTACAGACTTTCATAGAACATTGTGCGGTCAACAGACTTTTGTAGAACAACAGACTTTTGTAGAACAACAGACTTTTGTAGAACATTGTGCGGTCAACAGACTATTGTAGAACAACAGACTTTTGTAGAACAACAAACTTTTGCAGAACAACAGACTTTTGTAGAACAACAGACTTTTGCAGAACAACAGACTTTTGTAGAACAACAAACTTTTGTAGAACAACAGACTTTTGTAGAACAACAGACTTTTGTAGAACAACAGACTTTTGTAGAACAACAGACTTTTGTAGAACAACAGACTTTTGTAGAACAACAGACTTTTGTAGAACAACAGACGTTTGTAGAACAACAGACGTTTGTAGAACAACAGACGTTTGTAGAACAGACTTTTGTAGAACCTCGTGCGGCCAACAGACTTTTGTAGAACCTCGAGCGGTCAACAGACTTTTGTAGAACCTCGAGCGGTCAACAGACTTTTGTAGAACAACAGACTTTTGTAGAACCTCGAGCGGTCAACAGACTTTTGTAGAACAACAGACTTTTGTAGAACCTCGTGCGGTTAACCTATACATGTACTGTACATGTCAAGGATAACACCATCAACACAAACATCACGTCCAGTGGTTCTTCCAGCTATGTTTTCAGTTCCCCCGACCTACCGACCCTCCCCCCCACCCCCCCCCCCCCCCCCAGAGTTTCTTCCAGGCCCCCCCGAAAATTTTTTACCGCCCCCCCCCCCCCCCGAACGAAATGAAATTTATATAATTTATATAGAAAATATATACTTTCATCAGTGTCCGCCCCCCCCCCCCCCCGGAGAAAAAAGTCTGGAAGAAACACTGATCACATGGACACATAGCTTTAAACACGTTGACCCATATACACAGAGACCCATAATACCTTAACACTCCCGTCTTGACGTAGACTGACGCAACACGACACCTCTGAGAAGTGATTGTGTCACATATTTAACTCTACATTATATGCATGTACTACACATGTAGGGTTGTCTGTGGGTTGTCTGTGGGTTGTCTGGCTGTGTGACTGGGGTTGTCACAACCTGCCCAAAATGAGCTGATATTGACGTGAGACCGACCAGTCCCAGTACATGTCTGTGCATTAAAAAAACGGCGGGAGAAAAAAAAATGGCCTCATTAGATGAAGTCACCATTGAACAGAAAAACTCAAAAAAGCATTGCGCCCTTTGACCTCCTTGATTGGTCGGCCATATTGGTTTCTATTTTGCCTAGCAACGGCATGAAAGTGTGCAAACACGCCACCAAATGACGGCCTCATAGCGTTAATGCGTTTACCGGCGGGCGACCTTTTCTCCGCACTGAATTTTTATTTCGATCCAAATTTCCAACCGCCGGCTTAAAATTATACTTGTCTAAACTTCAGACTTTTATTTTTGTACTTTGTTGTCAGATGTAGATGGCTTTAGTGTATGTTAATTTTAAGTAGATGGCATTATTACAAGTTGAGTTAAAATAAATTGCTTTATTGCACGTTGAGTTTAAATACATGACTTTGGTAAACGTTATTTTAAATAGATGACATTATTATTTGTTAACTTTAAATAGATGACATTATTATTTGTTAACTTTAAATAGATGACATTATTATTTGTTAACTTTAGATAGATGACATTATAATATTTTTTTTTTAAATGGATGGCAGTATTTATGTTGATTTTAAATGGATGACAGTATTGTATGTTGATTTGAAACTGATGGAACTATAATCAGTTGATGGAAAACGTAAATGTTTTTGTTGTCGGCCGACTTGACAAGAATAGTCTATTGAAGTATATTTAGATCTAGTTGCAATAAGAAATGCTGATATTCAATTACAGCCGGAATAAACCGGTAACTCGCCGGCTGCTAGAATTAGCCGGTAATTCGCCACAGGCTTGTGGCTACTAGTGGTCCGGTCAGTTGGTTGCCGTGGGGGGGGGGGGGGGTTGGGCGGTCACTAGACGGCCACTTAACTCGTCAGGAGAGCTGCTGCTAATAGGAAGTGACGTCATGTCAGGGTGGTGTCTGGCACTCCAGGCCCCAGGGCCGTAGGGCGGCACTAGTGGACCCGGGGGGCGGCACTAGTGGACCCATGGACGCGCACCGGCCACCATTTATTCTATCAACTCCTCTGCTCGGGTCAATTACTTCAAACTAATAAAGAAAAGTGGCCAGTCCACGCTAAGCCAACCCTTTAGCAAAGTGGCCAGTCCACGCTAAGCCAACCCTTTAGCACTAGTTGTTATACTACGCTCTTATGACACGCGAAAACAACCTTTAGCTTTATTTATTATAATGTACGGCTATTCCACGCTAAAAAAACAACTTTAAAACGCTATATACTACACGGCTACTCCACGCTAAGCAAACCAATTATTATACTCTCTTTTAGTCTGACAAAAATTGGAAAAACAAACAAGGAAATGAAATACACATTTCATTTATTTACTTATTGCTGAAAGTATAAAATATCATTCGCAGAATCAGTGCTATTTATTGCTGTTTATTGATATTTCGCACACACACACACATATACATATATATCACACACACACACACACACACATATATATATATATATATATATATATATATATATATATATATATATATATATATATATATATATATATATATATATATATATATATATATATAAATTTATTTTAATATTATATTTATGTATTTATTTCATCATGTTTGTCCGTGTCCATCTAATAGAACTTCCTGTATCCACAGAGAACATCCGGGTATGCCCAACCAACCAGGGATGCCCCAAGACCCCAACTCCCCGGGGTCAGATATTAAGGAGGAGCACAGCCCCGACTCGCTGGGCGCCCACACCAAACTGGATGAGCAGTCCCCGCCCCACCCGTCCGCCATCTACGCTGACCTCCAGAAGGCCTCCAGTATGGCCGCCTCTGCTGGCAGTATGATGCACAGTATGATGGGTCACCACGGTCACCCTGGTGTTCACATGAGTCACCACCTGCAGAACCCGGCTGTGGGTGGCAACCCGGGGGTAAACCACATGTTACAAGACTATCAGACTTTATGACATTGAAGACAACAACACCTTCGACCTCACAGTCCGGGCTCAGAGAGACACGGCGCCCTCACAGTCCGGGCTCAGAGAGACACGGCGCCCTCACAGTCCGGGCTCAGAGAGACACGGCGCCCTCACAGTCCGGGCTCAGAGAGAGAGGAGCCCAGCCCAACACGGCGCCCCCACAGTCCGGGCTCAGAGAGAGAGGAGCCCAGCCCAACACGGCGCCCCCACAGTCCGGGCTCAGAGAGAGAGGAGCCCAGCCCAACACGGCGCCCCCACAGTCCGGGCTCAGAGTTAGAAGAGCCCACGGCGCCCTCACAGTCCGGGCTCAGAGAGAGAAGAGCCCACGGCGCCCCCACAGTCCGGGCTCAGAGTTAGAAGAGCCCACGGCGCCCTCACAGTCCGGGCTCAGAGAGAGAGGAGCCCAGCCCAACACGGCGCCACGCACCCTGCCTAGCTTTGTCCTACACAAGTTTGTGACGTTGAAGATCTAGCGGCCAGCATTGATCCAGCTAGCGGTGAGCTAAATACGGAGCAGGGATTCGATTACATTTAATTAGTCGTATCGTTATGAGGCTTGTCTAAGGGCGGTAATTACCTTCCGTTGGTGATGCTAGGTGCGATAACTCTGGTTGACACTACATAAAAGTTAGCTCCACACTGTATGCCCGGATATTTCCCTATTTGATCTGGATGTTCCGTGGATGTCAAGTATGCTGCAGCAGTATCTACTGGATAGTCCAGCCTTGTGTTTGTTGTATCCAGTGGATATCTCGTGTCCATTTGGAGATCCACGGGGTCAGACACGAGAACCCAGGACAACACACCCAGTCGACACATGTGTCCAACACACCCAGTCGACACATGTGTCCAACACACCCAGTCGACACATGTGTCCAACACACCATGCTAGTGTGTACATCTGACACCATTGGACACGATGCTCTACAGTCTACTGTGTCTTGATGACATCGCTCGAGAGATGCACACTCTAAAACTTTGATTGTAAGGTGTTTAACACCACAGCTAAAAGGTGTCACACCACAGCTATAAGGTGTCACACCACAGCTATAAGGTGTCACACCACAGCTATAAGGTGTCCGACACCACAGCTATAAGGTGTCCGACACCACAGCTATAAGGTGTCTAAGATGTCCTACACATCAACTATAAGGCGTCCTACACATCAACTGTACAGTCATGACTCAAAGTCATGTCATAAATATGAGCCAAACTAAAGAGAAACTTCACACAGATGATTTAAACTACAGTGAAATGTCACAAAAGTGACTCAAACTAAAGTGATAAATCACGACAGTATAAACTTCACATACAAGCGTGACATCATTAACTTGATCGGTCAGTCTGCCATGTCAATATTTATTTAGTCAGTGGAGTCATGACACCAATATTGACACCTTGATTGTTTATTCTGTTGACAACTTTTCCTTTGTCAGTTGATGGAGTTTTATAAGAAAAAACAATCTGCAACCAGTTACATCACGTGCTAGAACTTGTACCCGTGACGTTTAAAAACAACCACACTACACTGCCACCAGCTAGCACCAGCTACCACCGGCTACCACTAGCTAGCACCAGCTACCATGAACGGACACTCTTGTAGCTATGTGTGTAGCCCATTACCCCAGGGTCAACATTGACCTGACCCACGTACAGTCTACCCCCCCCCCCCCGCACCAGACCCGGACTACGAAGGTGTTGTTTCTATCTATGTGTCAGTCTGTCAGTGATAGATTTGGTCATCTAACTAAACCACTCATTCTGTCAATACGTCGTTATGTTTGTTGGTTTGTTTGTTTGTCCTGGTGTGTGAAACATAATAAATTATATGTGTTAGCTTACCTAATGTAATTGTGACATGATTATTACCCTACACCATGTAATTGTAGTGTGTGTGTCTTTGTGTGTGTGCGTGTGTGTGTGTATTGGAGTTTGACTAACCTAATGTGCTATTATTACATGTGTACATGGTACTAAGTTAGCTTACATGATGTAATTGTGATGTATGCGTAATGCTGTAGCCGCTGTAATAGTGAAGGGCATACTTGGACAGACGTGCCTAAATCTGCCCACTGCCCGGCACAAAATACTGTAAAATATGTGCTTGTATGTGCAGGTACCGGTATAAAATTATATTTAAAATGTTTGGAAATGTTTTGGACAATGTGTTGTATATGTTCTAAATTTATTGGCTAACCCAAGTCAAGCATGGTAAACATCTTGTAAGGAACTGTGTGGTAAACTTCTAGTATGGAAGTGTATGGTAAACTGCTAGTTTAGAAGTGTATGGTAAACTTTAGTATGGAAGTGTATGGTAAACTGCTAGTATAGAAGTGTATGGTAAACTTCTTATATGGAAGTGTATGGTAAGCTGCTAGTATAGAAGTGTATGATAAACTTCTTATATGGAAGTGTATGGTAAACTTGAGTTGGCTTGATTTGATAGTGTATGAAACTGGTATGTGACTTTGTTGTAATGCTGTATGACCATCGTCTCTGATCAATCAAGCGTATCGGTCTGATGATTTGACCGAACTTTATTCAACACAATTTTTACTTTCTCGTATATACAAAGTATGGAGGAAGTCTTGTTTATCTCATATTTCAACCTAAATGTTTTTTATTCTTCCAAATACATTTTAAGCCTAACGACCCCCTCCCCCCACACACACACAATAGCTCTGTCATCTGTATAGTAACCAACTGACACACACACAAACATACTTACACACTGTATAGTGACTAACCGAACCCCCCCCCCCCCCCACAAACACACACACAAGCTTTGTATAGTGACCACTAGACCCCCACATTTAAGCTATGTCATCTGTATAGTGACACACAAACATACACACATACTGTATCGATACCAACAGCCCCCCCCCACCCGCCAGTATATAATAACCAACAATCCCCCCCCCCCCCACATACACACACTCTCACACACACACTGTTTAGTGACAATCTCGTGTGAACATTTCCAGAAGGTTTCAACCCAGTGCTACTGTCAACACTTAGTAGATCAACCTCCCCCTCCCCCCTCAACCCCCCCCCCCCCCCCCCTAGACGGCTGATGCCCATAGTGTTTGGCCAGCTTACATTTTTATAGCAACATAATAAGTGAATAGGTAAAGTTTAGTAGCGGTCAGTAGCGTTCAGGTAAAGTTTAGTGGCGGTCAGGTAAAGTTTATTGGCCGGGGGTCAGGTAAAGTTTAGTGGCCGGGGGTCTGGTAAAGTTTAGTGGCGGTCAGGTTAAGTTTAGTGGCGGTCAGGTAAAGTTTAGTGGCGGGGGGGGGGTCAGGTATAGTTTAGTTGCGGGGGGTCAGGTAAAGTTTATTGGCGGGCGGTCAAGTAAAGTTTAGTGGCGGGGGGGGGGGGGGTCAGGTAAAGTTTAGTGGCGGTCAGGTTAAGTTTAGTGGCGGGGGGGGGGGGGTCAGGTAAAGTTTAGTGGCGGTCAGGTTAAGTATAGTGGCGGTCAGGTAAAGTTTAGTGGCGGGGGGGTCAGGTAAAGTTTATTGGCGGGCGGTCAGGTAAAGTTTAGTGGCGGGGGGGGGGGGGGTCAGGTAAAGTTTAGTAGCGGTCAGGTAAAGTTTAGTGGCGGGGGGTCAGGTAAAGTTTAGTGGTATCATCAGTGATGTTTGCTGCAAACATGAATCAGTGCAATTCTTGTATTTTAAAATCTTGTATCTCCAATCTCAAGTGATTTGATGCTCGTCATGTATCGATAGATCGATTATCTCAAGTGATTTGATGCTCGTCATGTATCGATAGATCGATGTCTCTCAAGTGATTTGATGCTAGCAATGTATCGATAGATCGATTATCTCAAGTGATTTGATGCTAGCTATGTATCGATAGATCGATTATCTCAAGTGATTTGATGCTAGCTATGTATCGATAGATCGATGTCTCTCAAGTGATTTGATGCTCGTCATGTATCGATAGATCGATTATCTCAAGTGATTTTGATGCTCGTCATGTATCGATAGATCGATGTCTCTGAGAAGACAATTCTCGCTAGGTGCTCACTGTTCTGCTCGATTGCATTTTTTTTATTACAACCAACCAAAGAGCCAAGGCCACAATGCCATATTTGTCCGTGTATGACGTCACATGACGTTTTATTTGTTCGTGTATGACTACACGTGGCGAACTTTGCATAATAAAATGTACACTAGTTTTATGATGTATATCTTGGTGTATTATTGATACGTGTGTATTGCTATTCCACTAAGTTGAGTGCAAGCGAAGTATTTGATGTTTTATGTACGTGTCTATAAATAGACTTTGTATGTTGACAGCATTCTTATGTCAAATCTATGTGTTGGGTAGATGTGTTAATATCCGCACACATACAGCGGAGTTTTTCAAATATTATTCAGTCATTTTGCCATAAATAAATAGAAATTAATTTTAAATCAAGTTGAGACTTCATTGTTTTTATTAACAGGATGTGTGTGTGTGTGTGTAAGTGTGGAGGGTGTCAGCTTGTGTGTAGTTATGCTTAAGATCATGTGTTTGCAGTAATTAACAATTACTCTGTGTGTGGTGTGAATAATTAATGCACATTAATTTTTTTAAGGCCATTCTAAGTCTCGACACGATCAATACTTAAACTGTGTTGTTAGCGGGTGTTTATAGCGTGGCCTGACGCAGTGTCTACTGGCGCAGTGTGTAGTGGCTGACGCCGTGTCTACTGACTGACGCCGTGTCTACTGACTGACGCCATGCCTACTGACTGATGGATTGTAGGAAAAAAAAAAAGTCACAGGAAAAAAAAAACAGGAAAAAAGTCACAAATAAGTATTTGTATGGAATTTAATACTTCTACGTAAGTTAAAATCCAGAAAGTACAAATCGTAGGCCTTTCCTTTTTGGCTTCTCAGTCGGCCTTGTCCGTCCATATCGTGTGTTGTTGACGTTTTGTGTCAATGACAGCCTTTGAACCTTGTCGGCTTTCTGTTTTGATCCTATGCTTTGTTATGTAATGAGCGTGATAAATGTGGGCAGTAAAAGTGGTTGAACTATTGTTGCGATGAGTTGAGTGCAGCAAGTTAGATGAACTTACCACGGTAATTTACTGTTAGCATTAAAAAAAAAACACAATGAAAACCGAGGACGTTGGAACATTCTATTAAATGCTATTAATAATATGTTTAACATAGTTACAATATAGATTCTACATACTTCATACGAAATATTTTTATATGAATTATAAAAAAATACCATGCGTATAAATCCTACACACATTACATTACATTTAATTAATCCTAAGTCTAAATGCAACACTACACATTGCGATATTAGTGACAAAGCAAAGAAATAACTAAATAGCCAAAAATAACAGCACATTTAAAATAACAAAGGCTACCGATACTTATTAGAAAAAAAACAAATAATATACATTATTACTAATATTAGTCAACACAACACCATATTTATTATGCACGCACTTATCAAGAGACTTTTAAAAGATTCCGTTAATGATTCCGTTGAATGGTATTTATGGGGTTTTTTTAAAAGTAATGTGTATTACTTTTGGCCTAGAAAAGTGTATACATTTTATAGATCTAAATCAGATTTGAATGAAATAGTTCATTTCTTCATATTTTAAAATTGGAAGATGACGCCTTTAGTTTTGTGTTCTTTCCGTAGTTCAAACATGTGACATAAGACATCATTGTTTGAAGCCTTCTTTTCACAACAATAAATGCTTTTCCGGTTGCATAATTAAAATTGTGTTTCTAAATTCGAATATACCTCTATTTTTATTTTCATTCTTTAAATAAAATTTAGTTTATACATTTTAAACATCCAACATATTATTTTCAACAAAAGTCCGTATCTTAAAGTTCTCCATATATCGCTAAACATTCTGACCACATTGCCTAAAAAAATTGCGGAAAGAGAGAGAGAGAGTGGAGTGCGCACATGGGCTTTTATATATTAGGATGTTTGAGTATACAGTGTGTCAACATGTAATATGGCCCGTTGACTCCGTTCATAGCTTGCTTTTCTGTGTACCTATGCTCTCCATAGCCTTAGTCCAACCAAGAACAATCTATAAGGCAGCAGTTGTTTGATTTTTGGAGTTTTCGCTCCGAGATGGGTTGCTGTCCACGGGAGTCCGAACTCGGGACTTTAGGAGTTAGCAATCAGTCGCTCTACTGTCCGACCACGCCGCCCCTAAACACAGAGAATAGTTGAATGTATAGGCCAAGCTTTACTCACAGTTGTTGAACTCAACTACACGCTTTTGTACGATTTGACGTACTTTGAATTGTATTCTTTATTTTTATAGCATGTACACAAATTATGCCTGAAGTAGAACATTAATATAGTGACGTAAAACGAGGTGAGTGATCTGGCGACGTAAAACGAGGTGAGTGATCTGGCGACGTAAAACGAGGTGAGTGATCTGGCGACGTAAAACGAGGTGAGTGATCTGGCGACGTAAAACGAGGTGAGTGATCTGGCGACGTAAAACGAGGTGAGTCATCTGGCGACGTAAAACGAGGTGAGAGATCTGGCGACGTAAAACGAAGCGAGTAATATGGCGACGTAAAACGAGGTGAGTGATCTGGCGACGTAAAACGAGGTGAGAGATCTGGCGACGTAAAACGAGGTGAGTGATCTGGCGACGTAAAACGAGGTGAGAGATCTGGCGACGGGCTAGCTGTAATAGACGATCTATTCAGCACGGATGGGACCGTGACGGCTTTTGTCCGCCAGACGAAATCACTTGATACCCCGGGGTGAGACCCGGCCCGTGGGACGGGATCCTGCTGACTCGCCTTTGTCCTGCCCGCAGACTTGATGTCTTTGAGGAGAATAGATAAGTCACCGCGGCACAAACAAACATCAACCGTGTCTCAGAGCACTTGCCATCCGGGCTGTCTACAGTTGATATTTTTATGTGACACTCCAAACGTAGAGCATCAACATTTTAACCCCGGTGTGAATGTTCTCTCTAGGTGTTAGCCAAATACAAACACACACACACACATATATATATATATATGTGTATTATATATATATATATATATATATATATATATATATATATATATATATATATATATATATATATATATGGACCTAAGTGTATAACCATGAGACCAGCTCTGCTGTCCATGCATGAAATAGCTAGTAATGGACACCCAGTGCTAATCTAAGCCACCTAAGCACGCACTTGGCGTACCAAAAGCCCACTTTATTTGACGGAACTCGTCTCGTCCTCGGTGAATGGGAAGACTCCAGCAGAAAACGTCTTTTTGTTGACAGTACCCGCCGAGCACTTGCGGGGGCCCGGCGTGCACTTCTAGGGGCCCATTATTACAAGCATGAGGTTGCCGTCTATGCTGCCAGTGGCCGCCCTGTCAAGTACCCCCCCCCCCCCATCCAGCCTCCACCTCAGGTTACCACAACAAGCATCCCATTAGCCGGGTCCACTATGGTCACACAGCCATGAGAGGGTCAGGTATACAGCTCTACATTCTCCGGCTACTTCCTCAAACATCTCTCTGTATATCACATTCTAAATCATTTGTTAAAACAAAACTTTAATGCCGAGATGTTGGACTACCTCAAACCTTTAGCCTTTAGACACCATTTACCTTGAGCTTATAGACACCAGTCACCTAGAGCTTATAGACACCAGTCACCTAGAGCTTATAGACACCAGTCACCTAGAGCTTATAGACACCAGTCACATAGAGCCAACCATAACACCAGTCACCTAGAGCTTATAGACACCAGTCACCTAGAGCCAACCATGACACCAGTCACCTAAAGCCAACCATAACACCAGTCACTTAGAGCCAACCATAACACCAGTCACCTAGAGCTTATAGACACCAGTCACCTAGAGCCAACCATGACACCAGTCACCTAGAGCCAACCATAACACCAGACCTTGTACCAGTTGTAAAAGTAGTCCTGACGATGCCCATGCCGATGCCCCTGACGATGCCCCAGACAGTGCCCTGTGCCCGGGTGTCACCGCTCATACAGTGGAGTTGATTACCTAGAGAGCCGCCGTGAATAGACCCTCCCCCCAATGAAAAGAGCTCCCAGCTACAGGCCTAGATGCGCTGTAAGATAGCAGCGCTGGATTTGACTTGGGCTGATCGAATCAGACGATTAGACGCGAGGTGTATTTTCTGGGCTGGCATGTATTCTGGGGGCCCGGGCGGACGGGGAGCTGGTTTTATGGCGGAGGCTGGGCGGCGACCTGAATGGAGGGTTGCGTGGTGGCGGAGACGGCTTTTGTCATGGAGGCGTCAAGCGTGGAGACGCTATTGTCACCGCTCCGGTGCGAAGTTTTATGTCGGCCGGAAAAATTTAGATTATTTTTTTAAGAAATGGGGTAGGTAAGTATCGCCAATCGAGTCTATGACACTCTATGGGGTTAATACCAATCGAGGCATTTATAGTTCATATGTAGGGTTAATTCATGTACAAAAGTTTATAGTCAAGCTTTGTGGTATACAGCAAACATTGGGACCATCAAACATCGTGGGGTAAAATTGTGTGGTAAACATAGGGGGTAAAATTGTGTGGTAATCATAGCGGGTAAAATTGTGTGGTAAACATAGCGGGTAAAATTGTGTGGTAAACATAGCGGGTAAAATTGTGTGGTAAACATAGGGGGTAAAATTGTGTGGTAAACATAGCGGGTAAAATTGTGTGGTAAACATAGCGGGTAAAATTGTGTGGTAAACATAGGGGGTAAAATTGTGTGGTAAACATAGGGGGTAAAATTGTGTGGTAAACATAGCGGGTAAAATTGTGTGGTAAACATAGGGGGTAAAATTGTGTGGTAAACATAGCGGGTAAAATTGTGTGGTAAACATAGGGGGTAAAATTGTGTGGTAAACATAGCGGGTAAAATTGTGTGGTAAACATAGGGGGTAAAATTGTGTGGTAAACATAGCGGGTAAAATTGTGTGGTAAACATAGGGGGTAAAGTCTTGTGGTAAACATAGTGGACCAATCACTGCCAGTGGAAGTAGAGATCCTCCAGAGAAAATGGAAATGGATTTGCCACACACTCAGGAAGCCTGTATCCAGCATAACAAGACAGGCCCTCACCTGAAATTCACAGGGCAGGAGGAGGAGAGGCAGACCAAGAAAGACCTGGAGACGTGACCTGGAAGAATCACCAAGAAGATCGGATACACCTGGGGACAGTTGGAGAGACTAGCCCAGGACAGAGATGCCTAGAAAGCTCTTGTCAGCGGCAATGTCTCAGGGGAGGCGACAGGCAGATTGTAGGGAAAAACGTCACAGGAAAAAAAGTCACAGGAAAAAAGTCACAGGAAAAAGGCACAGGAAAAAAAAAACAACGGGAAATAAAAACTCAGAAAAAAGTCACAGGAAAAAAGTCACAAAAAAAAAAAAAAAACACAGGAAAAAAAAAG